AGAAGAGGTGCCCGTCGTAACACTGGACCATGTCCTCAAACGTGATGCCACCCTCCCAAACCTACCAACATGTCAGAAAAGTCTGCACCATCTCTTTACTTACCTGTCCAGAACCAAAGACTTTCTCCTTGTAGTTCTTGAGGCAGTCGACACAGAAGAGGTGCCCGTCGTAACACTGGACCATGTCCTCAAATGCAACAACTCCCTTCTTTGTCTCCGTGCTTCAACAGCTTTCTGTCAGATCCCACCACAGTTTCTCAATTGGGTTTAAGTCAGGAGACTATGATGGCCACCCAAGAACCTTCCAGCCTTTTTCCTATAACCATGTCTTTTGAGGATTTCGATGTGTGCTTGGGTTTATTGTCTTAATGCAATGTCCAATAATGGTCCAGCAGCTTCGACTTCTTCACAAACTTGGCGACCTTGCACCACTGTCTGTAAACTATATTAGACCAGCAGGCTTTGGATCTAGTCCAGTCCATACTCAACGATAGAATAATCTCTGCCATTTCTTCTTTCTCTTCTTCCTCTGTTGGCATTGTGGCTATCCCCCCATTCATGCATGACATCTTGTCTTGTAAGAAATTGTAGTCTGTGTCCAAGAATGGGATTGCTACTTTTTAAAGAATGTTTGACAGTCATAAATCAACACAACAGCTTGCTGAGTGGCATTGGCACCTCTTTTTGCAGACAGCTCTGCCATGTCTCCTGAAGGTAACTGATTGTGTTCTTGTTTTAGTGAGTTCCACCGTAAATAATGCAGGGCAGGGTTGTGGGAGGAAAGGGTGGATCCATCAAGGTGCCAGCAGGGTGTTCCATAGGAAGGGGGTAGGAAGTCACACACGTCCAGTGTGTTCGCACGTCTCGTGCACGTGGGTACTTCAGTAACAGGGAGACGGAGGTGCGGGTTCACATCTGCGGCAGCAGTCTTGCAGTTCCGATATATTGTCGTTTATGTGTGCACCTTCATTGTGTTGTGGGATGTCTATTTTCTCCTCATTATCACTGGTTCCTGTCTCAGACGATGGAAGGCTGTCCAGCAGTTCATAGGCAGTCCCAATCGTTCTTTCTGTTCTTTCAAGAGACTCAATGTCGACTGGATAAAAGCAGGGGGTAGCAGTTTGTGAAATCCTGTGCGAAGAAAGTTTAATTCAGGAATTCACTGAATACTTCAGTAAGTTCGGCGTTGGGTATGGACAAGAGAAAGCCACATCTTGGCCATTCCCTTATGTTCGCCTTTGTACATTAAACGGCAAAGCCATGATATCGAACACTGCACGAAAAGTGGGATTTACCGGACAGGTAAATGTGATGTAAAGTCCGGTAAAGGTAACATTTACCGGAGATTTACTCATCGGTAAATGTGCAACTATACCACAGATATACCAGCATGGTAAAGCGGGTAATGTTTATCCTATTGTATAGTATAAATTGTTACATAACTTTCTTGCTCTCAAAAATAAGTTACATAGATGGAACTTAGCAGAGGACTCATTATGTTCCTATTGTAATCTAGAAGAAGAAACACCTTTACATATTTTTTGCCATAATTGTACCTCTCTTGTGAAATTTTTGGGGGATGTAGAATTTTGGATAAAACAACATTGATACAGAAGTCAAGCTTACACCCAGTATGATCATACTAGGCATTTCAGTTAATCATCTTATTGTCCTTAACAAATCGTTATTGATATTAAAGATATATATATATATATTCACACGAAGAATAGGTCCTTTCTGGATGTCGTTACAGCCCGAAGCTTTTTGTGCTTCTGGGAGTTTTCCAATCCACGACAGGAACTGGGACAAGTCAAAGATCTGGAAATGCAATACATGACATTTGTATTAATATCAACAACCATGCATTTATAAAATACATAAGCTATTTGTGATGAAATATTCCACGTCAAACTATTCAGAGTATTAAAAGATATTAGAAGAATATTAGAACGAGGCATATAAAAGAAAGGTCACAAAGTTCCCCACACAAACATCTGCTTGGAGAGTAAGAGCAAATATGAAGTAATGAATATAAGCCTACCGCATATGTCTCCATTACGTTTGCTTCTGGGGTGTCACACGCTTCATGATTCTTTTCGAGATGAAATTGTTGAATCGTTCGAACCCAAACATCCACGTAGCTGGGGCCGGCCCATACTTCCTCAGATACATGGAGACGTGATGCAGCAGATGCATCATGATAGTCTGTGAGTGGAAAAAAAATCATAAGCACTAAGGTATTGCCTAAAGCAAGGTCCTTGCCTGAAGCAAACGATATTTTTCTTCGAACTATTTTTTTTACACAAGATGTATCTCCCCACTGTCGTTTACTTTCATTATCCACGGGATATAACTATAGAATATCTTACATGGAGGCAGCTTAGGTTGTAGATTGGCGATTTCATCGGTAGAAATCTCGGGTGAGCAGATTACTACCAAGCAATCGAGAAGCTCGAACAGGTTGTGCTGTTGCTCCTTTCCGGGCAAACCTCGGACTGCGTACTTCAGCACGCCATCCGCTACAACCTGGGGGAAAATAACCACTCATTAGGCCACACCAAATTAATTTCTTGGTTAACGGATTCGCCCGCTTCATTTTTTTCTGATTTGCAAATAAAAATTAAAATTCAGAATCAACTGCAAAATGCTCATATTTTGCCCTAAACAGCTGAAAACAGTCCTTTTCTTCCTAGATGTCGCAGTTATTTCATCTTTCAATGCAATGCATATCAATCATTAAAAGTTCAAAATTCATTGTTTAAATTTTGAGTTGACTTCATGGCTTCTATCGTACCATTTTGGGCCATAATAGGATGCCTAGGCCTGTTTTTATTTTATTTTTTTTCGCCCGCCCGCTCCATTATTTTTCTACAAAAATCCGTTAGCCAAGAAATTAAATTGGTGTGGCCTTAGTGCTCTTTTTCAACCTTCCTCTGGTTCTTGTGACTTGTGGAATCAATATCTGTTGATACATGAACAAGGAGCAAACATACGCCCGTTCACAAGCAACCGGGCCGTTTCGATTTCACAATTTATACGCAATGTCATTTTTTGTGCTTTGCAGTCATTTTATCCTACTTTTAGTTCCATACGACCAGCCGGGCCCTGGTTTGGAAATACGACCCCAGCATAACAAACAGCTTGAAATTGAAAAAATTGTTAACGATAGGAGTAATGGAAAAATGCAAACGGGTTCCCTTTGGACTATGCGCATGCAAATCGACTAACAAAAGTCAAACACCTTCATCCATTCGTGCGACTTCATGTAGGGGAGCTTGGAGAAGAAGGGTTTCAGCCTCCAGTCGTAGCCATGTGGCACCTGGATCTGCAGGCAGTGTCAGTCTACTGTCTGGAGTCCTTCCTTGTCCAGGGTCCACGCTGGGTGGGTGGCGTCCACCCTCTCTTGAGCTCCCCCTTGGCTCTCTGCCTTTTGCCGCCACGGAAGACCGTCCCGGTTCTTTAGGCGGTGTGACTTCGCCAGTGCTACAGGTAAACCCCCCCCATTGCCTGCTCGGCCTGCAACGTCTTTGCCCTATTCACGTACCCGTTGATTTGTCCGAAGATCTTCTTTGCCACCACCTACCTCAGTTCGTCGGAAACCGGACGGACATTCGTCTCATCAATACACAGAAACGGTCAAGCCAGAAGGACTTTTGGAGCGAGAACAGCGCTATGTTCAAACATGAAACCATGGTGGTAAGGAACATGGACGCCATCGGTTTGGAAGGAGAAAAGATAAACACCAAAATCGAGCGTTTCCACGTTTTTGTCATCTTGATCAAATACGGGAAGAGGTATCCAGAAAGGGATTTGCCTTTCATACAGAGACCTGACTTTGGAAAGGACATAATAGGAGAATTGGCGCGGTTCTGCATCAATACAGGAATGTGTAACAAGGCAAACATGAGTCCGGATATATTTGGTAAGGTAGTTTCGTTAACGTTTTACAGTAGCAACTAGCAACTCAACCCCATCATTATGTCCATGGTATGAAATATGCATCTAACTATAATTAAGCTGCCAGTTTTTAAAATGTACGTACCGTGACTAGTGTTCAGAAACCAAAGATGCAAATTGGCCCGAAAAATAATTTGAATACTAGTATATTGATCCATGTAAAGCCAAAGAAAACATTACGCAACTGTTGCACCATGGCATTGCACTGCCGATCTTTAGCAAATAAGGTATTCTTTTACGCCGATGCACGTTAGACATCTAGGTAATGAGATACACAAGGAAATCAGGCAACTGGATAGGCGTTGGAAACCGATATCTGTGGTGACTATTGTATCCAGAACAGTGCCTACTAGTTCTATGCCTGAATGGGTTAGGGTTAGGATCAGGCACGGTTCTGGATAGTTTCTATTGTATTCAAAACCATGCATATCTAGTTCGATGTCTGAATGGGTTAGGGTTAGGATCAGGAACGGTTCTGGATAGTCATATCTCTGGATACAATATTGACGGTTCTGGGTGTAATTGTGTGCTGTATTGCAGGTATTGTGATGATAATGCACCTCTGGGTCCGTGTCTACCAGACCGTTCGCTCCAACAAGGACGACACCAAACTCATCTATTATTACGATGAACAAAAAACGTGGCCCCAAAAAGACTGGCACTCGTTCATCCAAGAAAGGGAATACACTGACTGCTGCAAAAGTCAAAGAAGATACAGGCGTAGTGCTGTTGAAGGCGGTTTCACAGACCCAACGCAACTGATACTATATATACATATATTAGCAAACGTACATGGTAGAAATTGATGCACCTGAATAAAGGGAAAGAAGACTATTGTCAGGATTGATGTATTCAATACAGATTTATTTTTTACTTCCATTTTACTATGCATGTTCCTTTTAATTCCCTTTTCAAAAATCCAAATTGATTCTGTTTACATTGTTACTATGCAGATATATTCTTTCCATTGTTGCTATGCAGATTCACTTTTTTTTACATTGTTACTATGCAGATTCATTTGGCTTTCATTAGTAATTTACAGATTCATTTTACTATTTTTTAATATGCAGACCCGTTTTACTTTCATTTTTTACTATGCAGATTCGATTCAATTCCATTGTTACTATGCAGATTCATTTTAATTCCATTGTTACTATCCAGATTCACTTTACTTCAATCGTTACTATTTACTTCGATAGTTACAATACAGATTCAGTTTACTTTCGTTGTTTCAATACAGAATCATTTTACGTAATTATTGGTATGCAGTTTCATTTTACTTCCATCGTCACTTTGCATATTCACCTTACTTCCATTGTTACAATGCATATTCAGCTTACTTCCATTGTTACTATGCATATTCATTTGCTTCCTTTGGTACTATGCAGATAACCTTTACTTTCAGCGTCACTATTGTACGTTTTTGCAAGAGGAACCAAACAAAGCCATTCGATAACAGAGACGGGACGCCACAAATTTCCTGTTAATGATGATCCACTGCTCACCAAATCACGTATTTGATCTTACGCTTCTGTGAAGAGCACGTCGGCAGAACGTACTGCACTTGCGAAAAAGCCTGATTTTTTCACGGTTTCGGTTGGATGTTTGGCTAACATTGCATCAGAATTTTTTTTCTTTTGCTCATGTTGCAGACGATATTTTTAACGCAACAGTTGTAAACTTAAGACGAGATGTTGACCTTCCATGCGCGAATACGACTTTATATGAGACGTTCTGCCGAAGTTCTATGTACAATACATTACGGGTTTCGCGTAGGTGCAGTACGTTCTGCCGACGTGCTTCTGTGACGCCAACAGGTAGTTCTGTACGGGAGGCTAATGATATTCCAATCAGACAGATAAACTTTAAGGTACCTGCATACAGCCATTCTCTACAGTAGCGTCTAGCAGAGGGATCCACGCAACCGGAATCAGCGTGCCCAGAGACTCCGGGAGAGTGTAGCAGTTGTCTGTCGGGATACAAGTGACTTTAAGAGTTCATGGTTTAGGATCGATACGTTTAGGATCGTTTACAAAGAAGACTCCACTGTGACAGTCAAAAAATAGTCATTCAAATCTGCCTCAAAAAACCTCTGTAAATACTGGTAAATCGTGATCGCCTACTCGTAGATTTCCAGTTAGGCCACACCAATTCAATTTGTTGTTTCTCGGATTTAAAAAAGAATCAGGAGCGACAGGGCGAACAGAAATGTTCAGGCCAAAGCACCCCATGGTAGCCGAAAATGCACCAACATACCAGGCTGGTTTGTAATTAAAACAATAGATTTTGAACTTCTAATGAAACCAAATTGCATGGTTACATTGAAAAACTTTAAGAACTAGGAAGAAAATTACTTTTTTTCAACTGTTGGGGCCAAATATGTCTTTCATTGAGCATCTTGGAGTTAATTTAGAACCCTCCATTTTTTTTTTGCAAATCGGAAAAAAAGGACAGGGCGACCCGAGAAGCAACAAATTAAATCGGTGTCGCCTTAAGATCAAATAATATTGAATGAGCCTATATACTACTTGACGTAGGGTGCTCATGAGAAGACGGGAAGACCTCAGTAAGTACAAGTAAGTGAGTAGATTCTACTTTATAAATGGAACAGGGAAGATTAGAGATCACTGCTCTATAACAAGATAATGTATTATATGTACTGGAATATACTAAAAGAAATTAATTGTCTATGCATAAATAATTCAAATTTTGTGTGTTAGTTTGGTTTTTTGCTGCATAGGCATGCTATATGGTGTAGGGTGGTCTCCCTACTTCATTCAGGGTCGCTTTTATCAAAATCAAAAGAGAAGAAATGAAAATAGCAACCACGTAATTTTATGTTTTGTTGACAAGTCCTGTCACACATTTACGAATTTGGCAACCCGAACACTGCCCGGAAGCCCCTCAATCATATTGAGTACGTCTACTATTTCTGTTTAAAACTGTAGCTTGTTGTATTACCTTGGTGCCAGGGCACAGTTGTTTCATCATTGCTCGGTACCTGTGTCGGAACAGGGTCGATGGGAACAATGTTACTTGTGGCTATCAGCATTGTCGTCATTACCTCCGTGAAAGTAGAGGTGTGTCTGTAAGTTTGTGTTTCGATTAAAAACGTATGGTTTAAAACACAGTTGAAACATACGCACTTATAAAGGTGTTTTAACTGTGCTTACCTCCATGTAAAATTGTATTAGCAAAAAATTTAACAGTTGTAGGAGCGTTTTATCAAAACTATTTACAAAGGATAATTCTCGAGAGAAAGGATGGATTTCGAGCATATAGCAAAGAATTTTGTAGAAATTGGCGATGAATTTTTATCGTCCATTTGTGGTGTTTGTCCGTTTACCTTCGGCCGAAGGTTCCAGAGCAGGTTCCCGGCTATCTCCGGCCCTACCAGCTGCTCCATGACATTCAGCAGGCGGTCGTTCACCCAGAGGTCACAATAGGCCTGGTAGCAAAGGTAAGGTGTACCGTGTTAACGGACAGAATCCGACAGCTACAGATAGATGTCATATCATTACAGCAAATGATGACAAACAAATGGCCGAAATGTTAACAATAACTTATGTTTTCTTTCGTAACAAAGGCATATTTTCAAATTTCAAAGTAATTTTTAGAATGCCCTCGTTTCATACAGTGTGTCCTCCTTTTCCAATATTAATACGTTTCTTATTGTTGACATACTGTTGCTCCAAACATAAAATATTGTTGACATGATAATGTAAAAGCAATTGTAAATGTGACAAATTCGACATCCAGTTATTGCAAAAAAGATTAAAAATATAAAAATCGATATCAATCATAAAAAGCATGTGTTTGTAGATATTTCCAAAACAAACACAAAATGAACAGGACAAAACAATTTTGTAAATTTGCAATTGTTTGACCTTGTGAATCTTGCCCTCCTTTAACAGCAGTGCGCATGTTCCAGGGAACTCTTCCTCGATTAGCGTCAGTCGTTGAAACAGCCCTGCGTCCCGGTACGTGTCTGTGACGTGACATAATATTTTTATAGCCTTCTTTGCAGGCATTACCTGTCCGGTGTCAAGGCGATTTCGCCCTCCCCGGGTCGAAATCGCTAGTGATTTTCCCCTCCCCGCTAGTAATTTGGTCCCTTTAATCAATTATTTCCTGGAAAACTTCAGTTCAAGCATGTCCAAGTTCGCGATTTCGTTTACTTATTTTAATCCTAGTATTTCGTTGTATTGGGGAATCATGTTGCATGTAAACACTCTAAAAACTATTTTACCAATGATCAGCTCAAATCCTGCGTTGTTCAGATGCCTTTGCTGTTGAGGCGGCACAACACAGTATTAGCCCTATGGGGATTTCTATAGTTAAGGACCCCAAAGTGACTCAGTTCGACTCACTGAAAATCATAGTAGGGTGCACAATCAAGATTCAGATTTTTGATATGTTAAAATTCAGGGTATAGTGTACAAAATATGTGAAAATTAGCTTAGATTTGCCGGCTAGTTCTTTTCTCATGCCCTCTTTTTTTAGCGCCACTGCGGAGGTCATGGAACTGCAGCCGAGGCACAGTACTAGGCGGGACAAGTATCCAAGCGCAAATCTACGCCGACTGAACACGCACCATAATTCAACTTTTACAGTGTCAAAACTGACGTATTCCTCTAACATTTACCACAGGTTCTATCTCGATGCCATGCACAGAACAATCTCTGCACCCTTCTCTAGTATTGTGCAGCACTACTTTGTGCCCGGACTACTTTTGACTACGGGGTTCGCCCATAAATACTGTGTTGTGCGGCCTTGAGCATAGCAAAAGCGAATACTTCAATCAGGAGGTTACTTTCTAGCTTCAACCGAACCCGCAATAATATCGTTAGAATTGTTTATCAAATTTATATACCTGCCATACCTGTGGTACGGTGTAAAAGAGGTTACTTATTAAGAGGCAGAAGGGGGGCCAAATCGCTCGGGGGGCGAGATTGCTGTGACACCGGTATCGCAGCGTTTTTTTTCGCGTTTCCCTGAACATCCAAAGCTAAGAGAGGCGCGTGCGTTCAGAAAACGCGACTGCACCAGGAACTGCAACAAAGGAGGCTCGGATTTTTAAGCACCTTCAGACTAGGATTTTGGTAGCAAACTTTGCAAATATACGGTAGAAATTGAAACTGTAACATGTTGACATATGATGCTGCCAATAGCGACTAAACATAACTACAATATAATCGACTGAAATATATTTCTTATATTTTATCAAAAAGTTTTTTACCAAAGTTGTAAAAAAACTATACTGTTACACAGTATCTCACTTGTTTCTGTCGTCCAACTTTAGACATAAAACGGGAATTCGGACCATCTGTAATAAACCATTCTGAAATTTCATGTGCATATATAGTAATTTTTACCCCAAAAATCGTAAATTTGCTTCTGTCCGATAATTTCTCCAGCAGTTTACTGTAATGGGTTGACATGAAACGCTTGGTCTAATTCCTATCCCACTTTTCATTACCCTTTCTATTGAAGATAATACTAACTCACTCTTGATTTTCCCGGCCTTGTAGAGCCTTTCTGCCAAAGCGTCCACCAGTTCCGCGGTGCCATCTCTGCAAGGCTGGAGTTCTTCGGGCGTGAAGAAGTCCTTCACTAGAACAAAACCCTGCATGTAGACAGAGTACACTGTAACATTTCTGAGTAAAATTTACCTAGTAAGACATACGTCATTCAAAAAATAAGTCCAAAAGTGTCGTGTACAAAGTGCCTTTTAACTGGCTCCTCCCCTGGAAGCGCGGGCATAAATAATTAATATTCTTTTGGGAAAAGTTGACATAATAAAGAATTGTCAATCCTCAGTTATTTCTCTTCACAGTGTGTTTTCTTTTGTTAGTTTTTTCAAGTTTGTAAAATGGAAGAAGAACGACAATCGTACATGGTACAATATCGATAACAACATATGAATTACATGGGTCATATATCGATGGTTTGGTGTCTCTTACGGAATGAGGTATAGAGAAATTGACCCATGTAGGCAAATATGGGAGTTGGACCCAACAATAAACTAAAGTATCGTTCTGTTTACCAGATAGGCTGAACCTTGTTTTGGTAGTGATAGTCTGTAACGGTCTCTCTCTCTCTCTCTGTTTGTCTGTCTGTCTCTCTCTCTCTCATAAGTAGGACAAGTCATAACAAATTGAAACTTATCTTCAATATTTTTATTACATTTTGGACACAGCCTCTGAGTGGCTGGTGTGTTGTGGTGTCGACCTTTTTCAATTTCAAAACAATGCAAATGTTCCGAGAAAAAAGAAAAAATCAACCAATTATCACAGATATGATAGCAGGTGAGTTTAAAAATTAACATTTTATTAGCATGTGAAGTGTTTTGATGTCGGCTTTCAGTAAATGGTGTTATTATTATATTGCACATTATGCATTATTGTACTATTGTGTGAATAAAGATCATTCCTTCAGAATGGAACTTTTACAGCGATTGATTCTGCACAACGTTTAGTCCTGGGATTGGGTACAAGGTACAAGGTCAATCCGGACTGACTCCCTCTAAAGGCTCTGTCACGCATTCAAGACTTCGACCTTCCCCCGACCTTGCTCCGAACACCAGCCAACCACAAGCAGCTAAGTCAAATTAAAACATGTTATTCTAACTACAGTGATAAAACTTGAGCGCTGAAAAAAAGGCCAACATCGTATACATGGGAATTGGTATCTACACGATGTCTGGATTGAGACCATTTCGAAACCATGGATTTTGGAAACTGTTAACTTTCTATCATGTTTCTGTAATCATCGAAGGCTGCAGGTCATTTTGTTATTGACTTTTTTCAGGTACTGGTACAGGTCCGGCACTACGTAGTGACACTGTTTACTAACACCTGTACCTGATGTTTAGGCAGTACGAAGCACTAATCTGTACCTATGTATACCTGTTCCGCACGATTGGCAACCATGAATAACGTATCTATAAAGGTTAGACATCCAGGTAATGAGGTACACAAGAAAACAGATGTTGCAGAGAATTTGAAAACTGACAGTTCAAAATTGTCCACTTGCTTCAGTACTAGTGTTACTGTTTTGTTAGGTCATTTATCTAGAACTCACCTCATCGAAATACCGCTTAACCTGTTCATTGGTCAGTTGCCCAGGCTGACGGGGGGTGTGGTGTAGACTTCAGGGCAGGCGTCCATAATGGTGATTACTTCACCCTCACACTGCGCGATTTCTCTGCCCTTTAAACACAAGAGGAATGAATGTTTATCTAAGAGGGGAAGGGTCAACATATGTTCAACGGAGTTTGGACTTTGGACGCTCAAGCGAATGTCCTGACATGGCCTGAAGACGATGTGATAACCTTCATTATGCGTTCTAGGCAAAATTAATCTTTAAGCAGATATTCTAATGGCTGCAAAGACAGAATCAAACTGGCCAGGCAGTTACCATTTCGCAAGCCAACATGTATAATGGTAACTGTCTGGCCAATGGATACAGCCTGGCCAATTTGATTCTGTCTTTGCAACCAGCAGAAGATTAGGGCAAAATGTCCCGTCCAATGAGGAGGAATTTTATATAATCATAAGGTATATGTAATATGTGGGTTCCCAGGTAATATAGCACATAGCCTGACTACATCTGCGCTCCTAGCGGTCGGCCCGGTATTACACCAACCGCCCTTCTGTATTTAGTCAGGCTAAGATAGCACATGCCTATCGCCAAAGGTGAATATCCCCGAGACGTAAACAGAACTCATTAAATATTTGCATTTTTTTTTCTATTTTGTTGTTCTACGTTTTGACTGATCGAGGTGGGCGGGGCTATAGGATCCTGTAGCGATTTTTGTTAAATTACCTCTCGAAGGAGATGGACAGTGGGCATGTGACAGCGGGCATGCGCTCTCTTACCCGGCGCTCGGTTGCTGGGGTAGTAAACGTTGCATAACTAGGAATGTATCGGCTTAACAACGTTAGCATTTATTCTATAACAGCAATGAGGTAATACCCTCCTTTTCCTCTACTGCGCATTTAAATATCTAAGGACACAAGCAAACACACACACACCCAGAGAGAGGGAGAAGGAAAGAGGGATAGAGATAGAGAAAAAAACAAACCCAAACACTCCATGAGAGTTCAAAGGTCATTGCAACTGACTTATATTCACGTAGCCCATTTTTGTGGCATGACATGACCCACTTTTAACTAGAAGGACTGGTTATTACTTTGTCTCGGGGTAGCGTCCTTCGCAGACTTGTGGGGCGGACGCGCGAGTTCTGCCGCGGAGGGACGGTTTTGCCGCCGAGGAATTTTGCCGGGAGAGAAGTAGTGAATGCCCCAAAAGGCGGTGAAAACTTCTCCCGGCGAAACCGTCCTTCAGAACTCGTGTCGCTCCCCGAAAAAAAAAATACTAGTAACGTCGCCACCCCACAAGTTTGCGAAGAAGGCTAGTTTCGAGGTACTAGTAACTGGCACCGCTGTACTTGTAATTGTGTAATGGCGTTTCCAGTCGTACACAGGCTAGCTCCTCGGCTCGGGGACCAAATGAATTTTATTAAAGCCCCCTTCCCCCTACACACACACACACACCTACACCGTACATATGATGTGGCATAACCGAGAATTCATTCATAGACACTCCATTTAGAAAATATGTTTTGGGAAGCTTGTATTTGGGCGGTCTTTTGTGTCATGCTTGGCACTACAAGTAAGTACGAAGAAAAGAAGAAATTCACCATTTTGTCACACGAAAAAATAATGCATGTTCTCCCTCTATGTTGAAAACGTGCGCTGCCAATTTCAGGTGGCGGTGGGCCAAAAAGGTTGAAGACTGTGAGGCGCGCAGGTCACAGTCTGTGTGTGTAAGACGAAGACTGTCCTAGGCGTCTGTCCTAAAACATTTTTCGTACGTCATGCAAAGTGTCTCGTGTAAATTAACATCATTAACAAAAGATCATCCATGCAATACCAACGAGTGTTTCTGAACAAGGGAAAGAAAGGTTAAAACTGACAAACTGAACAATATCTTTAAAAATGAAATGGAATTAGCAATAGAACAGAATGACTATTTTGTTTGTTTGTTTGTTTGTTTATTTCGATTTTTCACGAAGACGACTTTTCATAGTTTTCTGCAATTATAACAGTTACATCAACGGCGGTTTGTCACTACGGTATTCTTTCCCATTGCTAGGGGGGTTCAAAACCACTTCTTCACCTGTTCAACTCCTGCTTGCAAAATGGTTACTTCCCAGACGATTGGTCTCTTAGCCACATCGTCCCCATACATAAATCTGGAGATACCTCTCTCCCTGATAATTACCGCGGTATCTCTATCATCAGTTGTTTTGGAAAATTATTTACTTCTATCTTAAACAATCGACTTGTTAACTATGCGGAACAGAACAGCCTTTTCAAACCTCAACAGGCCGATTTTAGAAAAAACTATAGAACATCCGATAACTTATTTGTATTAACCACTCTAGTCAGCTGCAGCAAATACCTAAGCATGAACGTGCGAATTTACTCATGTTTTGTTGACTTCAGCAAAATTCTTAATAACCATCAAAAACATGTATTCAAAAACTAAAAACTGCATTAAAACCAACAGCGGCCTTACAGACGCGTTTGTAACTAACTGTGGGGTTCGACACGGCTGTAATCTAAGTCCAACTCTGTTTAATTTATTTATCAGTGACATCATAGCCGAGTTTAATGATCCTTGTTGTGACTCTCCTAGTCTTTGCAATAAGAAAGTTCCTTGTCTTTTGTATGCAGACGACCTTGTGTTATTCTCCGAATCTCAGCAAGGCTTGCAGTCATGTTTAGATAAATTAGAGAAATATTGTAAATATTGGAATTTGAAGGTGAATTTAAAAAAGACAAAGATAATTGTCTTTACTAGGGGAGGTAGATTACCTAAGAATTGTTATTTTTTTGTTTAGTAATAACGTAATAGAAATTGTAACGTCATATTGTTATCTAGGCATAGTGGTAAGCGCAGCTGGTACGTTCAAAGCCAACAACAAACATCTAAGCAACAAGGGTCTAAAATCCGTGTTCAGCATCAGACAATCCCTTAGCAAAGCCGACGCCTCATTATCCATTAAGAACAAGCTCTTTGACTCCTGTATTAAACCTATCCTACTATACGGGTCTGAAATATGGGTTTCTTTTAAAAGCCAAAATTTTTTTCCTATTGAATCTGTACATCTAAATTTTTGTAAACAATCACTGAATATACCAAAAACAGCTAGTAATTTTGCAGCACGGGCAGAACTAGGGAGGTACCCCATCCACCTGGAGGCCTCCCTGAACGCTATCAAGTATTTTATTCGACTCCACAAGAACGTACCAGCTGACTCCCTTCAAGCAGACGCACTCCTATGTCAAATAGACCTAGATGCTTCAGGTACTAAATGCTGGGCGTCTGGCGTACGTAGAGCTCTAGAGGAATGTGGTTATGCTTTCGTCTGGCAAAATCCCCAATCATTTTTTTCGAACACGTCCCCTACCATTTCATCAATTTTCCAGCGATTAGAAGACATTTATTTTCAAACATTCCTATCCGAAATCCACAATGATAGCAAAGCTGTGAACGCAAAGAAACTAAGTCTATACAGATTATTAAAACATACCTATAACGAAGAAAATTATCTCAACTTAGCGAACATACGTCACAGGTCCTCCATTACAAAACTAAGAATCAGTTGTCATAAATTACGTATCGAATCAGGAAGACATAACCGCACTCCTCTGGAACAAAGAACCTGTCAATTCTGTAGTTTAGGCCAAATAGAAGATGAAATACATTTCACCATAGATTGCCCCTTGTATAGTAGAGATAGACTCATATTTTAGCCATGTATTAAGTATACTTCCTCACTTCAGATATTTGACTAGTAAAGAGAAATTTGTATTCCTTTTAACTTTTGATAAACCTACTCTAAGTAATCTCACAGCCGCATATATCCATACAATCACTACTAAGCGAGATGAAGCCGAAAAGAATAGAAATTATACATTACATACAAATGAACATATAAGAGTGTAAATAATGTCTAATTTCTATTCTTTTCGGCTTCATCTCGCTTAGTAGTGACACTCTTATATGTTCATTTGTATGTAATGTATATGTTTATGTTCATGTTCTGTACCCATGCGACCTGTACTTAGTTCTGTAGAACACAAATGTACAATAAAGGTCTTCATTCATAAGTGTGATCACCTCCCCCGCCTCATTTTATTGTAACCTAAGTGGTGTGTCAACTGCGAGAAGACCGGAAAAGCCTGGTTTCTGAGTGAGTTTGCCACTTCAGAACGCAAAAAAATAATATACGAAGCAGACTCCTTTGTGACTTTTGAAGGAAAGACACAAACTGCCATCCAACTTTTGCAACAATACCAAAAGCCGTCGTAGTTCTTGTACACATGGCGGGATCCCAATATCGATAGAAAGTGGCGGGAGATTTTGAAACCCGATACTACCACTGTTCCACAGCAGTAGAAAATGGCGGGAACTATGAAATACGATACCACACCGTCACGTAAGTTCATCGAGTGGCGCGGGAAAATGTGAAATCCTATACCAACATACAGCGGCTGCCCTGACAGGGTTTCAAACATTGTCGCGTTATATTATTAGTAAACATTCTACTGTAAAAAACTGTATTTGTTTTTTTGACGTCATGGCAGCACGACAGTAGGCGGCGGGTGTTTTGGGCTCCTGATAAGAAGCTTTCTTTTCTACGGAATTCGAGCCCAAAGACGACTGTTGCGCACAAAGCAGGTCCTACGTCGTTTGGGAGTTATTCCTTGAGGTGGTCACGCCAAAATTTTACGAAATGAGTACGAGGAAGACGCGTGGAGCGGCGGCAAAGAGACATGGCTCGTCTGCCGACATCAGGGAAGAAGAAAATGGCGACGACGACACAGACACCAGGTCAGATTTTGAGTCGTTTGTGCGAGAACAGTTTAAGAAAATCTTAGAGGGACAGAGAGAGCTACAGTCCGAGGTAAGATCCCTTGAAGCCTTGAGAAGAATGTGTTACTGTTAGAGAGTCGTCTCGAGAAACTAGAGAAGAAAAACGAGGACGTGGAAGCTAAGGTGGTAGAATTCCAGCGTGACGCGGACGAACGGATTAAGTACATCACACAGAAACTCAAGGCGACTGAAGGACTGGTGGAAGAACTGCAACTCAAGAGTAACAAGTTGGAGCGGTTTTCAAGACGGAACAATGTAAGAATTATCGGCCGGAAAGTGGTGAGGGGGGAAAACTGTTTAACTACCGTCGGAAAGATCTTACATGAAAAGTTTGGTCTTGATCGAGTTAAGATAGAGCGGGCGCATCCTGACGGGCCGAAGAGCAGGAGTGACGGCGACGGAACACCGCAGCATATCCTGTTTAAATGATATTTGTAGTCTTTTCTAGGAAGTTTTAACCCTGCTTTTTTTGCCCTCCAGCCACTTGTCAATGAGCGTATGAAGACAGAGAACACAGATCTCCCACACGCTGGTGATCTCACCCTGCGAGAAGAAGGACGCAGGACGCTACACACTACACCTGCAGAACCCGCTGGGCGACGTCAGCGTCAACATCAGGGTCAAGGTCGTCGGTAAGGCACTTTCACTTGTCCTTCAATCTCCTTCTTCTTCAAGCCCTCAGCAGTATCAAGTCTTGCCATTGATTTCTATTATAATTTTGCATTGTTTTGCACACTCATCATTTAGACAAATATGTATCAATAACCAGTGATTGAACAAAAAATGCTTCAAAAACAGTTTGTTCTTATACTTAAAGTAGCTCTCTTTTAAAATAGCAAATTGATGGATCAATGCAATAGAAAGCGTTGCATATACATGAGTAATAATCATTATCAGCAATCTTTAGTCAAGTGCTACA